TCATATATCTTCAAAAAACTTGCTTTTATCTGTCTCTTAAATATACACATTGATCTAACACTTTTAAAACACAATGTTAAAATAACTTGAATATTTTTGGCATTCTAGCACAGAATACTGTCAAATGTAAAAACAGTCCAAAAATACAATCAAAAATGCATTCATACATGTCTCAAGTCTAATTATGGCAAATATGAACAATATTTTGCTATGTAACACAATCATGTCACAAGCAATACTACATAAGCAAGATGTACCACCTGTGCAGTGTGCAGGGTTTCTTCCTGATGGAGTCTACACTCTGGAAGGAAAAAAATCCCCCTCAGATAAATGCTGTTCTTTGTACACAAATCTGTCCTTTATATACATTATAAAAACAGGTTCTCCCGGTGGGGTGGAAGACTCAAACCTCTGAACTAATTGACACAATTTCTGTCGTGCAACTACAACAGAGACAGTTTCAACAGTTTGGATGGAGGATGCAGAGGCCTCAGAAACACTCTGATAATCTCAATCTTGTAAAAGTTCTCAGTCTTTGACTTGTGTAGAGTTTTACTCATTTGGTTAAAGCGCCTCTTTGCATCCATTCACCTCTGGGAGATCTTAGACATTTTCAGACTTACTGGCCTAGAAAAGTCACACACGGCCCAAAATGAATTATGTCTCTACAAGACCTGGTGACCTCACAGCGTGGGCTGATGTTGATTAAATGTGTAGCGATGACTTTGTTCTTGAATGGCATTTTTAAAATGTTTCTTCTGTTATACATTTAGGGTTGACTCATGAGCCAGCACCTTTTGTCAAGTGTGTGTGTGTGTGTGTGTGTGTGTGTGTGTGTGTGTGTGTGTGTGTGTGTGTGTGTGTNCAGTAAACCCCAGCTGCTGTGAAAAACCCGTGAAGAAGCTTTGAAGTGCACGAGTCACTGCCTCTCCAACACAGGACAGCAGGTGCACGCAGCCTCTGGTCAGAGGGAAAGGGAACGTTCTGGTAAGTGCTCTAAGTGTTTCCCGGACAATTTTAACAGAGGATTACATATTTTATACTTTTTAAGAGTCGTTATTTTACAGACATGTTCAACTTGAGCGTGAACTCCTGATTCTCAAAGGAGCACAGTTGCTGCAGAAGCG